TTTGCAGATCAGCTTCAGCTGCATTGGAGGGAAAAGTTCACAGTTTCTGAAATCTTTGTGTGGAGCAAATGTTAATAGCCCAAGAGTCGCAATGCAAACCAAAAAGTGGTTTAAACCGTTCCTATACTTTAAAGGGAATCATGGACACATTTTGTCATTACTAAAATTCCCTGCATGTATATTAGATCTGTGGCTTTATGATCTGAAATCTATGTATTTGTTGAAAAGGTGATCTACCCGCTGTAAATACTTGCTGTATTTGAACAGATAGGGACTGACTGTTAAACTGTGGGTGGTATTGTATCAGCAAATTTTAAAAGCAGTACCTATGACACAGTAATAGATAAGTATTATATCTTGTTAGTTTATGTCTGGAGTGAACAGTAGGCAGCATCATTGCCTAGTGGTTATAACAGAAAAGTAAAAGACAAATCTTGTTTATGTGATTCTCTGATGTGATTCTCAACACAGCTCTACTGTTCCACAGTTTACCTACTTGTGTTTTGGTTTCTTTAATGCTGCTAGTCATATCCTAGTTAAATGAATATACATATACAAAATTCTTTATTTTCACAGATGCCTTACCAACCAGAAAGTATGTGTAACAGTTAGGCATGAGACAGCAGATTCAGAGGCCTGAGCTCTGTTCCCAGTTCTGCAGCTCTGTATTTATCAGTTTTCCTGGATGGGAAAGAGAATGAATACCTGTTCTTGCAATCCACTTTCAACTCCTAAAAATAGCCAATAACAAATTCAAAAAGTACTCTCATGTATATAGAAGATATAGCTCCCCCCTTTGCTTTTTATTCTTGACACATACAGTAAAGGAGAGATGATACAGAAGTTATTCCCACTGATGCTTTATTAGATGCTATGGATAGTGACAGAGCACATAGGGAGTAGAGCACAGGATGCAGCAGGTAAGCTTCAGTGTTGGACTTTATCTTCAGCAAAGAAGTGAAAGAAATCTTTTAAGTGATGACCCAGCAATGTGTTTTGAAAAGGGAATAAAGAATGCTTGACTTCAAAGAGAAAGGATATATAAGGAATTTGGAAGTGAGATTTTATTTCCTTTAGAAGATACATAATTCTCCAATCTCTTGCAGTTCCTCCATCTGTGGTTACTTTTTCCAAACTGTATGCCTTATTGTTACAATTTACCAAGTGAGAAATACGAATTTAATAATCCTGAACAACTAGGCGCTCTAGAATTGCTAAGTACAGGAGAGCTATATAACTTCGTACCTCACTTTCCTCATGGGTAAAATGGGGAAAACAATCATTCCCAAAGTCACAGGTATCTTTTGAGCATTAGCCTAATCCCACATTTTAAGTGGTCAGATGGGACAGTAATGAGCACCACAATGAAGGCCACATTAAAAGAAAAACCCAAAATTGATAGGCAAGGGAAATCTTAACTGTGTTGTTACAACAGTAAAAAGTAAAAGGGAATTTGGTGTTCTGAATCTTGAATTGAGGAAACTCAGCTATAGATACCACATTTATCTATTTACTGACTTGAGTTAGGCTGAATAAAAAGATAATATTTTGCAGAGAAAATTAAGTTTCCTTGAACTTTAGCTACATTTTTGGAGCTGACAGTTTGACCTATATGACTCTCAGAATCATGTGAGTAGGAAATTAGGACGTCAAAGCTTGTTTCCTGTTTGCAGATGGATATTGTTCTCCAACCTATACTAAATGAGGAATGGCACAGAGAAATGCAAATTAATGTTTCCCTTGGACTCAAATAGTAACATTTCACCCATAATTCGTTATTACGGGGTTATGATAGTAAAGCACTGATGCAATACTACTGACTCTTCCAAGTAAAGAGTAGTCAGTACTTGGATAAGTCCTGTGTAAAAGCCTGGATATAACATTTTAATTGAAAATTCAGATTATGCAGATTGTCTGGGATGTGGTGCTTCTTTCTGTAAATCAGTGCTTAATCTCAGACTACGACTTGTAAAGGGTACTAGGGTTACTATTTCAAGGCTCAGCCAAAGAATTGCCTATGGAACTTTTTGTAAGAACTGCCGAGCGCCCTGGCCACATCCTATGATGGTTCATCTCTTTCTCCCTTACAAATTCCCAATTTTCTTTTTGTGGAAAGAATTTTTTCCATTTCCATCTCAATTGCTGTGCAGCATTGAGCATCTAACACATTCCATTAAGGATGTGGCCTCATTACAAAAGTAGATAAAGTGGTTTCTGCTGCTGTTGCAGTATTTATAAAATACTTTGAGTCTGAATTACACATGTGGTATAAGGAAGGGCCCTATGTTCTCTTAATAGAGCAGAACCAAATGCTGTGATGTAAAAAAAAAAAGCCTCATTTTTGTTTGTAGAACACCTGTGAATGTGTTATAACTCTTTTATAAAGAAGTTCAGTGAAGTGCATTACTCATAAACCTTACATTTTCAAGTATATAGATTCTCTTTTAGATCTAGTCCACTCTTGAAAGTTATACCTGTCTAACATTTTTGAATAGACCACATCACTGACTGTGATGCTGATATTTGTAACTGATTGGAAGAGCAGATTGTCAGTGTGTGCTTGCTTCTAGTGTTCGAACAGGCAGGTTTCTGGATCCTACTAGTAAAATAGAAGATCCATATTCAGCAGTCAGTGTAATTTTTGAACAATGTTCTGTTTTGTATAGACAAAACTGTACTGACATCATTCTACCTACTTAAAAATCATGCAGTCATCAGACATCAGATTTGCTTAATAACAGGATGACTAAAATTAGCATATTACATGCCATTTATTTTATTGAAAGACCCATCACACATAACTACACTAAAACCCAGTGAAATATAACTGTTTGAAGACCAAAGCTTTATAAAACATCCTATTGAATTTCCAGTTTCTCTAAAATTACACAAAGTGCTGGAACACACACCAGCATCATTATTTAGAAGAATAAACCTAGACTTGAAGTGCAGTTTTACTCTGAAAAGTGACGACATAAACAGGGTGCTTTCCCATTAGAAAGATCTGCTCTGTTTATTCAGAAGCACACTGGTTGGCTTGAGTGCTGAAAATCAATCTTGCCCTCTATTCTTGTCAGTCATAGATAGACAGCAAGCAAAAAAGAAAAGTAGATGTTGTCCTTTCCTATGCACCATCAATAATATAGTTCTCTTCAATCAGTTATGGCAGTTTGTTTGCTAAGGGGGCATAATTTATCCTTCAGTATCTTTATTACTATTGATGATAAATGAACTCCGCCTCATTACCAAAGGACAGTGTAAGCTGGCCTGAGCTCTAGGGGAAAACATGGCAGACTGAGCACATTTGATGCAGGGATCACCAAGGAAAACACCTAAGAATCCTTGATGCTACTTTCTGTCACAGTGCAGTTACAGATGCACTTCTAAGTTGTGGCTTGATTTTATTACACTAATCTCCTTGTAGATTCTCTGTAGACAGCCACCTTTACAGGCTGGAGCTAGCAGAACACGTATGTTCTAGTCTATGGTAATTGCAGAATTTCATGTGGTGCTCCAAGTTTGCATGCCCGCTGCTAGCTCCACTGCAGGTCATGAGTTTTCCTGATAGTGTCTCGACTCCTCTGCTGGGTTTTATACAAGCCTTACAGGCCCTAGAGCCACCCATGATGTTCTGTGTTTGACTTCTGGCTTCCAGACTCCCCCTAAGCTCCTAGGGAAGCCTACACCTCTGCCTTAGCTCTTTGGGGATCGCTTGCCCAGGGAAGGAGGGTGACAGGTTGTCACGGTTATGATCCTGGAACATGTCCCTGGTTCTAGACTTGCCCAACAGGATCTACGTTTCCTGCCCCGAGAGGCTCACATTCTGCGGGATTTGTTGATCTGACAAATGTGAACAGAGTCATCTCATGGAGATCATATGAAAAAGCTGTTGACCCATTAGGTAGCGTCTTGGAAACCTTGATGTTTTTAATAAGGCACATAATCCGAACAAAAATGGGATGACGGCAAATAAAGGGAGGTAGGATTTTATCACCATGACATTCACAGTGCCTCTCTAGTTTATATTCACATAATACAGACAATATACTGTTAGATTCAAAACCAGATTTCTAGCAAAGAAAAACATTTCACTTACGTACAGTCTTAATATTCTACGATTTCTTCTCAACTCCAGTTACAGAAAACAATTCTGGCGATATACATTTGGCTCAAAAGTAAAAAGCTCATTTATTATTTGTAATAAAGGGACGACTGTCTAAGAATCAGTGCAATGACACTATTATTCATTTCCATCCATCAAATCAATGGCTATAAACCAGATTCTGAAATAGGTCTGTCCTTCGATGAGGAACAGTGCTGAGCTTAACATACAGCTCTGGAAACATGAATGGAAAAGTAAAGCACAAGGCATTTCTGAGAGCAAACTGCATGAGAGCAGACAAGCAGGCTGCCTGTTTGAAAGGCAGGCAACTCAAAGCATGGTATATCTAGTACCACTTCAGCCAGGAGTAAATATTTCCCTTCCAGGATAGAGCTCAGTAATTTCTTTGAGGTGCACCACGTGTTGGCAATTTTTAAAAAAAATCAGTTACATAGATTTACTATCAGTAAGTGTTACATTTTGAAATTAAATGGCTTTGTTAAGACACTGTAAGTTATTAAAAGCATTTGTGGTAGTATTTTATAAATAGCAGTCAGAGCAATCTGAGTTAAAACTAATCAGAGCATTTTCATTTGTTTTGTTTGTTAATTTGTAATTCTTATATGCAAGTGTGAATTCTTATACTTAAGTTCACTGCACTGTGACAAAATGTTTAAATGTGAAAATCTTATTGTTCAATTTAAAAAAGAATGTGTAGGTCCAATTATTGAGTGCACCAAACCTCAACAGCAGCTACATATGTACTAAAGCCACAGAATTACCCCACTATTTATGTAAAAAACAAACAAACAAAAAACCAACCCCCCAAAACCACATTTTCCTGTACCAAACTGTAGCTTTTTTCACAGCAGACAGTAAGTTGGTTGTATAGTGCCTGTTAGTTCTTGGAATCACTTGCATGTTTCTGTAAGGGAGCCAAGACAACTCCAGCATTCCTGTCTTCACTCTCTGAACTATACAGATTATTTTTTTCTATATATGCTTGAACTACATCAGGCACTAGGTAACGAATGCTCTGGCCCCTCCTCAGTGCTCTCCTGATCTTGGTGGAGGAAATGTCACTTGCGATCCATTCTTCCACAAGGTGAATGTTATTCTTATACCTCCACAAAATATCAGATTCATAGATGAATTTCTGACCGCTGTTTCCATCCCTACTGATGCACACCAGGCCATGATTTTTCACAATTTCAGTGATGTCCTCTGACTTCCACAGATTGGGGATCCCAAAAGATTCCAGCATGTCACTTCCACAAAGCAGTTTAACCTGTGGGACACCTTAAAAAGAAAAAATAAGTAAGAAACAGGGCTTGGTATAGGCCACCAGATTTTACTTAACTTGATGAGGACATTTAATTTCTAGGCTACATCTCTGTATCTTTGGTTAAGATGAGACAATGGAATAAAATAAAAAAAAGATTCAGAGTATATAATCTATAATTAGTAGCCTCAATACAGGATTTTTCTGAAAAAAAGGTTATGGGAGTCCCTTCGTTCAAAAGTACTGGAAAATAAACTCTAATAAGCTCATTTAGCCTTGGGGTGAATCAATCACTGTGAGGATCAAAGTAAAAGACAATATAGACAATATTCCAGAATAGCTAAGTATGAAAAAATACTGTAATGCTGTTTGTTACAACTTTACCTGACATTCCACAGGGTTACAGAAGAAGAGACAGCTTTTATGGGACAGGGGCAGAGGGGATTATGTAAAAGGAAAGAAAATACAACTGAAAAAAACCCCATAGACGATGTGACCGACTTCAGGGGACTCTCTTCCATACTATGTTTTATAGGGAATCTACAGAAGCATGCAGATAGAAAACACCTTAAAGTAATGGAAGCAAAATTGAGAGTGCTACACATTTGCAGCTTCCAGTAATGTCACAGGGTGGTAGGAATGTACTAGAACATCTGTCAACGCAATACGAAAAAAGCCTGCCTGATGCAGTTGGTCTTTTCTTTGAATACATTTACTTTAAAACACAATCAATTAAACAGTAGAATTTGTAAAGGTTCAAGGGAAGAAGTCAGGCAGAAGTCAAGATTTGCTAATATAAGATTAAGATGGTCATTATGCAAGGCCGTTCCAATTCTATGTGAATATATATACTTGTACATGTTAAGCTGAAGAACTAAAATTAAGATCTAAAAGCCACAAGCAAAACAAATAAATGCTACCTAAAATTACAAAGCCAAGCTACGTCTGTTGTATGAAGTTTTAAATTACAATTTTAAATGATCCTGTACCCAGATACATTTGGAATTTCAGGACTTAATCCTGTCCTTTCTTTCTTCAGCAACTTATAATATGATCCAAAATTCTCAGCTGTAACTACAGTCTAGCAAAGTTCTGTAGGTAAAATGGATAGCTCAGACCTTTTTCAGTTCAAATATCTATTATCTTGAGTATTTTTCATGCCCTATATATTTTACCCTTACAGTCATCTTGTTACAAAGCCTACTGCTTTATGCTGTGGGATCTAAGGGAATAAACTTATTCGGTAAAATCAGAAACAAGAACCAGCATAAAAAAAAGTTACTCATCAGCGCAATTCCCTTGAAATAGCAAGTATTGTTAAGCATTTAATTTGCAAACAGACTTAACTTTTTATATCTGGACTCTGATTTTTCTTTTTAACGGGGTCATGCCTATTTGGTTCCTGCTTCCTCTTCCGTCCTGGCTTTGTTAAAGGTATAGCATTCTGCAGACTATTAGTGGAATCAGGAGATAAAAGCTTTTGATGATGGTACCTGCAAAACAGATGTATTTTAGGTATTTTTAAGATGTAGGAGAATATAGGGAAGAGTATGGCCTACTAAATCATCTTTCACCACTTCCTCCTGCAGTACTTTCACAGACAATCCATCCAAGAACTGATCTGCTGGAACAGGGACTTGTGAGAGCTGGGACATAAGATCGTCAAAGTGCAAAGATTTCAAAGCAACAACTACAAGGTAGGTTTGTTTCTTTTTTAATAAAAAATTGTTTTAAAAAGAACCACCTCAGTGAAGTAGCAGTGACTGAAAGAGTAAAAAACGTAAAACTTAAGAAAATATATTCCTTCAGACAATTCTCATGCCAGCCTTTAACTACACAAATGGGCAGCATAGCACAATCAGAATCAAATGAGGGAAGCTTGTGTAGCATGTGTCTACCCTATTCTAGTCTCTTCTCGTTCGTCATGAATACCTTTTCAGCACAAAAACTGAGTAAAGCCTAAGAAACAATGTATCTTAAAAATTGTTCACAGGCTCATTTTTTGTACCTTTAGGATTAATGGTGCAATCTTTCATTTATGATGCTCATATAAATAGTACTTCTGAATTCACTGAGTCTATTCATATGATTTGGGGTTAGCCTGCTATTATCCTAACTTGTTAGAGCTAACACCATTCCTTATCCTTCTATACGTTCTTGAGACTTTTTAGAGTTTGGCTGAAGAATACCTTAAAACTTTTAGTGTTTCCAACCACTCACTCTGGCTGCTTTCCCAATCATCAACTTCCACCCAATCCGAGTTTTTTGTAGCTAGTTTTGCCATAGTTACTCGGTGATTCGCACTGATCAGACCTTTCTTCTTATACGCATCACCTACTGGTGAAATTATTCCTTTGATTACTTTGTATTTTCCTGTGGAAAAAACACATCACACAAGAACATGAAAAGTGGTTGAGCAAATGTTACTTCCACTGTATTGTATTTAAACTATTATGTAAGCAGTATTCACGGCAATCTCTAATAACACCAACGCCAGCTCTGATAGCCAGCCCAGTGGAAAAGTACAGCATACTTCTGCCATTGTGCAAGACAGCACAATTAAAGATCTAGTACAATATGTTAGAAAGATATATTTCTATAAAGAAAAACTATAAACCTCATGATTTAGCTCATTAAAATTAGTAATAAGCAACACATATGTAAGACACTTCTCTCATGTATTTGGCCTACACGATTTTGTATGATACATATACGCATACTAGCTTCAACATCTAATTAGTAGTTCCAAAAATATCTGTCGCTGTCAAACCGGCATTCATATACACAAAATACTCATCTTAACATTTAAGTGTCTAGTTCTCAGAGCTGTTCTGAATGGTATAAATAACCATCCTACCTGTTTCATGAAAGTAGTCTTTAGCCAGCTCAAATAGCCTTAGATGCATGTTGGTAATGGGATTGAAGGACCCACAGGCCAGCAGTACTACTTCAGTCTTCTTGTCAGGATCTTCCGTAGCCATTCCTCGCAGCTACAGAGCCAAGTGGAGAATGGTGGTGCGAGTTACCAGCCACTACAAGAAGAGACCAGATTAAAAAAGTTATTCCTACTTATTTGTGCTGCCAATAAGCGGAAGATTTCGAGATCAAATTGAACACTGTATTTTCCTTCCATCAACATATGGCCTGTGATTGTTCACGTGATACTGCATTATCCAGTTTTTAAGAGATTATGACGACTGCCTCTAGGTCTCTCTGGTTATCCCTGGATAGAGGTACAACGAAAGAAGCTGAGACAACAGTGGCATTATATTGCAGAAAGGAGGATGGATGAAATTCTTCTGTGGATGGTAGAAATCAAGGATGTAGAGAAAAGTGAGTGTGTTAGGAAGAAGACATATGTAATAGAGAAGTGAACTCAAATTTGCCTTGCCCATGTATTATCAAAGCAGCTGCAATTCCCTCCTATATGCAAGAGGAAACATCTTTAAAAATGAAATCACTGAAAACAGGCTGCTTGCCTGAAGAGAGGACAGCGTACTGTCCACGCTGAAGAAAAGCAGCTCATGCAGAAAAACTTCCTGAGGAGAGATTATTTGTCCTGATTGCAGGACAAACTTTATTAGAACTTCGCAATTTTTTTAAGATGCCAATGCCAATCAGCTGCCAAGAGACACATCTGCAGGGAACCTCCTTATAAGTAACTTCCTTACTTCTAGTGCTTACAGGGGGGAATAGAACATCCTATGACAGTTCCCAGTGCTGCTACTCTAAATAGCAGCAAGTCTTTTCAGCAAAATCTATAGAACTAACATTATATTGCATTAAGTTCTGGAGGAGAGGAGGGTTAACATTTGTTCATTTGGGATTTATTTACATTTTACATGCCCTTGGTATGTGGGAAGAGAGTGCTACGGACTAAACATGAAAACAACCAATCTACTTTGTGTTGCAGAAAGTAAGTGGTAGCTGTACCAGCGGAACAGATGATAGAAGAACTGTGAATTAAAAAAAGTTTAGTGAAAGCTACAATACCAGATTTTTTTTCCCTTTTTTAAAATACAACAGCACTGTTCCAATGTTGAACTTCAGTTTCAGAAAGCTGCTTAAGAACTGGTGAGAATAAGGAAATTTCACTACTTATCTTTTTCAACACTACATGGATTTTTGATTCTTGGTGTTCTTTTCTTTCATGAGAATATTCTGGCTTGCCAAGATGGTTTCCCCTAGCCTGGCCCTGAACAAATGAAAACTGGAATATGTTATGGGCCACTCTCCTGCTGTTGCTGTTTGTGAGATATCCGAGACATCCGTGTTGAGCACTGAACAGTCTGCCATTGTTTCTACAGCAACATCACTGTCTGGAAAAATCCCACAAGGTCACCCTCACATTCTCTCTCCTTTACAAAGAAGCTGAGTGATGTTCACAGCCGCCACAGCGGTGAGAGATCATCACAGCTAAATCTTGTAACAGCTACTACGTACTAACATCAAATAGCCCTTGAATAAAAGGAAGCCTTGCAAGGCTTCGCATTTTGCAAGTGTTAGTACTGTTCTGTGCTTTTTAGAGTTTCACAAACTTTTAAAATATTCTTTATTACTGCAGAGTAGTTCAGCATTTGAAGGGTTTGGTGTTACTTGGCATGCAGTCTTCATAGGGGCATCAGCCAGAAGAGTTACTATGGGAACAGGCAAGGAAAGGAGTGAGACTTGCCTTTGTAATGCATAAAGCCCTACTTTCTAAAGAAGTGACTCATGCTGCAAATTTGAAAAGGCTTGATTTTCTCCTTTAAAAAAAAATGCAAGGGCAAAAATAATAGAAAATTTTAAGATGAAAATATATAGTGCCTTTTCTGGAGTTAGTCGAAATGTCCAATCTTCAGAAACAGGCAATTACTGCGTTGTAAACTCACCTTGTAGCGCTTCATATCTGCATAGAAATTGAGAACAGAAGTAGAATTTAATAGTTGGCATATACCCTCAGTCTTCTAATTTGCATTGACATCCTCTGCCTAGCACTGTTTTCACAGAAAACAGCTGCACGGTTGAGGTAGGGAGCGGAGAAAATGACAGAGGTGTCATCACGTGATTACCTTCACTGTTATGTCGTAACCAACACAGCACCATCAGAGCTGGCCTCTGCTTTGCATGACACGACCTTCACAGAGCTCTAACTTTTTGGGGAAAGCTATGCAATTTGCACATCCCAGGAGAGAAAAAGATGACTAGGTTCCAGCGATGATGAAAGCCCAGCCGCTGCCTGAGCCGTATATGGAACTATGCCTATTCTTACTGTATAATAACATAAGTAGTTTTGATGAATTATGTATAATTTGGCACTGCTTGACACAATTCTAATTATTGATTGCAGTTTGACCACTAGATCCAAACTGGCAGCCCAGCTCCTGCTATACAGAGGTGAAAGAAATCTGTATGCAGGTAAGTGTTTAGTTTCACAAAACTGAAAACAGTCTTAAAATAATTAATGCTATCTTATGCCAAATATTAATGAAATATTAGCAAAACCTGTCTACAGAGACTTAAGAAGGGGAAACAAAGTAAAATGGCCTTCGCTCAGACTTTCCGTAAGGGCAGGACATCCTGGACCATTCTCCCTTCTTCAGAAGGAAAAATGAGGTGCCCTGTGATGCAGTCCTTTACATATGTGCTTATATATAATCTCATCATGCTTATGCATAATCTTACCAGTATTTAGTGTGTACTGCTTGCAGCCCTGCTAGTGGTTACCTGGATTGGACATGTATTGGCACCAAAAACCATCAAAGGATGCCTGCAGTAGGTTTTGGCATGGTTCTGAAAACCAACCTGTTCGTTTCTGCGGATAAGCAGGTAATCGTGAGTATGCTCTGGTCAACCTCATCTATATTTCAGAGATAAATATTTATTAAACATGCTTATATGTCTGTAGAATATAAACATGATTAAATATTAAGGTTACGGCTGTTGCCGGGAGCTCTGGCATGCTAAGCACGCCAGTTTTCGGTCCGTTTCAGCAGCCTCCTCCACGCCGCCACCGGCCTGCACACGGGGACGGCCCCCAAGGTGCGGTGCGCAAG